CAGGGAGAAGGAAGGAGAGAGAGAGGGAAAGGGAGAGGGACAGCGAGAGGTAGAGAGAGGGAGAGAGGAGAGATAGGGGAAAGGAGTGAGGAAAGGGAGTCAGAGAAGGGAGAGAGGAGAAGGGCAAGGGAGTGAGAGAGAGAGGATAGACGGAAGACAGAGAGACAGGGAGACGGAGAGAAGCAGAGACCCAGGGAAAGAACCAGAGGCAGCCGAGAGAGAGGAATCGTGATGGGGGCGGGGTGGGTGGGGGGAGCGGTAAGATAAGAAAAGGAGAAGAGGGAATTAGAAGCCAGTCTCAGGCTGCTAGCAGAGGGTTTCAGAGTCCTGCATCAGCCAGGCGGGAGGTCGAGGGGCTGGGGATGCTAAGGATGCCGGGGATGCTGCTGCCGCGGCAGCTGCTGCTGTCGCTTCTTCTCCTCGTCTCCTTTCCTGGGGACGGGAAGCCGGAGGCCGGCCAGCCTGGGCGGTCGCCATGGGGATGGGCGGGCTCCCGGGCGGGCGGGGGTGGGGGTGGGCGCCCACGGGGCCGCCTCCCTCCCTCCCTCCTTCCCTTCTTGCTGCTGCTGCGGCTCCTGCTGCAGACCTGGGGAGCGCGGCGGCGGTGGCAGCAGCGGAGGCAGGGGCAGCCGCGGCCGCCCAGGCCCAAGAGAGTACTGCGGCTCCCCCAGCTCTGGCTCTGGCTCTGATTTAAAGAGCCCTCGCGGGCGGCCGGACTAGCTCCCTCTTCCCCTACCCGTCTGCATCCTGCCGGGGCAGCTGGCGTGAAGGCACCCTGGGGCCAGAACGAGACAAAGAGCGACAGGGACACGGAGAGGAGCGTCTCGCCCACCTCCAGCAGAGGGTGATTTCGATATGGGAAAGGAGAGGGAAAGCCTCCTGTTCTTTCACCATAGGAACGCACTTAAGGCAGCGGACGGTGCGGGCCATCTCTTTCCCCAGGCTAGCGTACACGCAGTCTCGGCCGAGCATTGATCCCAGCATTAAAAGGCGATTGTAGCCCAAATGGGACTCCGCAGCCCAGCAGCCTGCCTCAGAGCCCAGCCCCAGGACCAGAGCAGAGGAGGGCGCCACACCCATCGGACCAGCAGAAGCAGTCTCCTTCTCCCAGTTAATTCAGACCCCAGGGGCCCAAGGCCAGCATGCCTCTGCTTCTATTGCTGTCTCACTTCCTAGCTGCCAGTGCAGTGTAGCCATGAAATGTTGCAGAGTAACTTGTAGGACAGGGGCAGGAGCAGAGGACAGAGAAAGGGAAAGGGGAGTCTGGGGGAGCCACTTTCCCTAGGAGGCCTCAGAACTTGCTAAAAAGAAAAAAGAGGGGACATTTTTCCAAGTGGGAAACTGTGGCTTGGTGGCCCCCCCTCCTCGGCTCCATCCCTCTCTCCCTCCAAACAAACAAAACTCAAAACCAGGCACGTGGCAGAGAGGGGCCTCCTCAAAGTCCAACTTCCAGGTGTAGACTCGGAGGCCCACTTAATGGTCAACTTGGACAGCTCCTCCTCAGGTGCGGTGGCAGGTTTTGTCCAGGTCTGCTTAGCCACAGCTTGGGCCTCTCAAAGGCAGGTGTTCTCACCAACACACTTTCTTTGTGTGGGGACAAGCAGGGCATACAGGAGCAAGAAGGGCCCAGCTCCTGCTGAGGAAGACTTTCTCTGTTCCTCTTTTGCTTTTAGGGGAATCTCTCAAAGGAGAGCTCCCAAATCTCTTGCTTCTTCAGTTTCACTGGGGAATTTTCTGCTGAACACCCATCTGCTTGCCTGTCAGTCAGAAAAGAGAGCATGTGCATCCCTGGTCCTCACACAGAGACACATCCACTCTGAGAAGGGGTCAGTGACTTCAGGGTCAGTGCAGGGAGTTCTCCTCCCCAGCATACATACAACCTGAAGGATACCCCTAACGAGATGGGCTGGAGTCCCTCAGGCAACACTCCTGCCCCTTTGGAGAGCATTTCCTAAATCAAAGGCCCAACACAGCATCCAATAACCCCAAATTGAGTGGAAGATGCCAAACATAATTTCCTGGGGAAGGGAAAGGGAGGCCCCAGAAATTGGATTCACAAGTAAAAATTCAAGAAGTCCCTAGGCTGGGCAGTCCAGTGCTTGTTCTGGCAGCACTGTCAGCAGGGGTCACAGGTACAAAAGCACATTCAAGTTTTGCCAGATCAATCTGAATTCCTGAGCTTGTGGGACAGTAGGTGTGGGGGCCCCAAGACCCCTGCCTTTCAGCTCCACCATGCTGCCTCTGTTTGCTCAGCAAATGTTTTTGCATTTATATGAACTGTGTGCAAGGCTCCAGTTTTGTCCCATACATCCACCTGCTCCCTCCCTCCCTCCCTCCCTCCTTCCTTCCTTCCTTCCTTCCTACCTTCCTTCCTTCCTTCCTTCCTCTACCTTTGTGAAATTAAATCCTTAAAAGGATATGGTAACATTGGCACTAAAGATATGTGGTGTAGGTTAGAGGCAGTGAGAATTTGACATGATTCTTCTGATCTTATCTCCTTGTGGAAGTGTGTTCCAACACCAGCTGCCCATCCCCAGGTCAGAAGCATCCTTTATTTCTTAAGTATCTTTCATGCCCTGGGTGAGGTAGGCCATTAGGGAGACACTGAGAAGATGGGGCCCTGCTTTAAAGTAGTTGTCAGTTGATGGGAGGAGGGCTCCATGAAAATGTGAGCACACAGGATTGAAGTACAGAATAGACTCTTGAGCTTGTTCTGCACAGGAGAGCTGCTCTGAGATCTGGGAAGTCAGGGCAGAGAGAAGGCTCCCTGGATGGAGTGGCAGTTCTCTGAATATTGAAAGAAAGCTTTACTTGATCTATTGAAGAGAGCAAAGGAAACAGGACCCATATAGACAAAGAATTGGAAACAGAGAGGATACCTATAAATTATGGAATGTTTGAAAAAGTCATGATACATATGATTGTGATGGATTATTATTGCACTGTAAGAAATGATGAGGGGGACAGTTTCAGAAAAAAAAACTTAGGAAGACTTATATGAACGAATACAAGGCGAAGTTAGCAGAAGCAGGAGATCATTGTACACAGTAACAGCAATATTGTAATGATAATCAACTGTGAAAGACTTAGTAACTGATCAATACAATGGTCCATGACATTTCCAAAGAACTCAGAATGAAAAATGGTATCCACCTCCAGAGAGAGAACTGATGAACTCTGAATTCAGGTTGGAAGCAGACTTTTTTCACTTAATTTTTATTGCTTTCCCTCCTAGTAACATGGCTAATGTGGAAATGTTTTGCCTGACTTCATATGTAGAGTGGGTATCATTTTTTTTCCGCCTTTTCTATGGGAGAGGAAAAGCGTAGAGGGAGGGAGCAAATCTGGAACTGAAAATTAAAAAAAAAATACATAAGCCTTAGAGTAGGAATCCTGTTGAACAAAGAGTGAGGGACAAAACTCATCTCCTTCTATGGCCCCTCAACAACACTCCCTACCTGACCCCCAACTCCTATTTACCCTAGTACCTTAAGAAGATTGCCAAAACCAATCCCTGCACATGTTCATTACATTCCCCAATCCTTCCAATCTCTTCCAGCAGTTTGCCCTATCATCTCCATTTTCTAGTCTTAAATATCTCCCTAGTGTCTTCCTTGTTGCTTACAAAAATGGCCGAGTCTTCCTATCCTTAACAAACTCTCACTAGACTGTATATCCCATTATCTCCTCCCTCTCTCAGTCAAAGTCCAGGAAAAATCCATTTATACTCATTGTCTCCATTACTCTTCTCACTCACTTCTCCCCCTTCTGCAGTCTGGCTTCCCACCTCCTCATTCAACTGATCCTGTCACCTGCAAGCTCTTAATCACTAAATCAAATGGCCTTTTCTTAGTCATCATCCTTCTCGACCTCAGTCTAGCCTCTGGCCACCTTCTTGTCCTGTACGCAGTGTTCTCAGCTCTCTAGTATTTCATGAAACTGCTCTCTCTTGGGTCTCCAGCTCCTTTACTGGATCACCATCCAAATCTTGCCTCCTACTGTGATTGTTCCCCAGGGCTCTGTCTTGGGCCTTCTCCCCTTTTCTTCTTAAATTTTCTCTGGACAATCCCATCAGCTTTCATGGGTTCAATGATCATCTCTATTCCAATGATTCCTCAATCTGTACATCCAGCCTAGTCTCTCTTCTGAACTCCAGTCTGGCATCACCAACTGACCTTTGGACATTTTGAGATGTACCATGCATGATCCATTGGCACAACAAACTCAATATGTACAAAACAACTCACTGTATTCCCCTTCTTCACCCATCCCCAATCCTGATGCTAACTTCCTTTTTTCTGTTGAAGACACCAGCATCCTCCATCCCAGTGACCCAGGTTCCAGACTCCTCACTCTTCTTCACCACCTACATCCAGTCCAGTGCCAAACCCTCTTATTTTTGGTTCCCCAACATTTCTCATCTTTCTCAAAGCCATTCTCTCTACATCTCTCACAGCTACTACTCAATTCAAGTCTCTATCACCTCTTGCAGTAATCACCTCCGAAGTGGTTTCTTTAACACACATCTTTCCTCTCCCTAATTCATTCTCTGCACATTTGTCAAGGTGCATGATAACCAGATCATGGCTGCTGAGACTTCAGCCAGCATCAAAAACTGTCTGAATTGCCTCCATGGTCTGCCAGCAGAGGCTGGGCAGGCATTGGTTGGGCACGTCATAGACCCTTGTGAGAGTGGTGGACC